TATATACAATGGAATATTACTCAGCCATAAAAAGGAATGAAACTGAGCTATTTGTAATGAGGTGGATATATCCAGAGTCTGTCATACAGAGTGAAGTCAGAAAGAGAAAGACAAATACCGTATGCTAACACATATATATGGAATTTAAGAAAAAAAAATGTCATGAAGAACCTAGGGGTAACACAGGAATAAAGACACAGACCTACTGGAGAACTGACTTGAGGATATGGGGAGGGGGAAGGGTGAGCTGTGACAAAGCAAGAGAGGCGTGGACATATATACACTACAAAATATAAGGTAGATAGCTAGGGGGAAGCAGCCGCATAGCACAGGGATATCAGCTCAGCTCGGTGATTTGTGACTGCCTGGAGGGGTGGGATAGGGAGGGTGGGAGGGAGGAAGATGCAAGAGGGAAGAGATATGGGAACATATGTATATGTATAACTGATTCAGTTTGTTATAAAGCAGAAACTAACACACCATTGTAAAGCAATTATACCCCAACAAAGATGTTAAAAAAAAAAAAAAAAAAAGACAGTATGGTACTGGCACAAAAACAGAAATATAGATCAATAGACCAGGATAGAAAGCCCAGAGAAAAACCCACGCACATATGGTCACCTTATCTTTGACAAAGGAGGCAAGAATATACAAGTCCCTCTTTGAACAGGTCCTTAAGGACTATCATGTCTCCCTTATCAGATGGAGGTAGAAGAATGGTGTACAGCAAATATGCTAGGACAAATGAAAGGAGGCCAAAATCAACAGAAGGCAATGAAGATAAGGTCAGAGGTAAGTGGGAAAAGGGCAAGCTTTCTACATTTACCTGAACTGGTGTTCAGCTGGTCAACTAATGGGGTCACCCACCAGCTATACCTGGCATGTGATGTCCAGTTATAGGAAAAAAGGGGAGGTTCACAGACGTCTAACACTCATTCTCATCTCTTCGTGCAAACCCTACCATTTCATGCTCCAATTTCCTGAATAAGTAGTTATTTCAAGCCTCCGAGCCTTTGCTTCTTCTGCTCCCTCTGTCTGAGGATTCCCTTCTTCCATGCCCTTGTCTTCTGGTGAACTCATTTTTCAAGAAATAATTTACTATGCTTCTATCGTTCTCTCTGGTATTTGGATTTCAGTTTTATTTAAGAATTGTTGCTGGTGAATTCCTCTAAAACTCATAGTTTATGAGTGCCTCAGGAACCCTCCCCACCCCAACCAAACTACTCAACACCAATTCTTGTCCCACACCACTCAGATGGTGGCCAGCTAGTCCTCCTTATGGGATAAGGGATATTCCCACTTCAAACCTAAGAAATAATGCTAATGTTATAGTATCATTATAATGTCATTAATGATTTTAGGTAATATAAACTGTGCACTTAAAATGTGCTAGACACCATGCTAAGTGCTTTATTTGCGTCATCTCATTTAATCCTCACAACAACCCCATGAGGGTTATTGTGCTATTATACCCATTTTACAAATGAAAAAATTGAGGTATAGTGAAGCTAAGTAACTTGCCCAAGGTCAAAGACCTAGAAAGAGAGCTAAAATATGAGCCCAGACAGACTGAATCCAGAGGCTGAGTTCTCAACCACTGGTCTATGATGCTTCCAAAACGGAATGTACCACTTTTTTCCTACTTTCTCCATTGCTCAAGCAAGCCAAAAACCTGAGTTGCCCTGTACCTCTTTCTTCCAAATCCCTTCATCTCCAATCTCACTGAACCTATCTTAGTTCACTTCTTACCTGGATAATGACAACAATTGCCTAACTGCACTCTACTATAATGTATGTTCCTCATAACAGCCAACTGGGCTTTTCAAATAAATCACAATCTGATCAGGTTACTCCCAACTGAATTCCTTTCAGTGATTCCTATAACCTGTGCAATGGTCCAAACTCCTGAACACACAGCAAACAAGGTCCTTTACTATCTAGCCAAATTCTTTCCTTTCAGCTCCATTTGCCATTTCCCTATATACATCATATTCCATTCAAACCAACCTTCTTAAAAGTTTCTAACAAAGCATATTGCTAATCCCTTCAATGTTGTAAATATTGTTCTACTCGACTACACAGTTCTTTATCTAGTAAATTTATATTACTGCTTCAAGTTTCAGCCCAAATGGCACCTTCCTTGACCACAGTAAATTATAACCGTGTAAGAGTTAATATTTGTTTAGCACTATGTCAGATACTATTCTAAATCCTATTCATATTTTAACGGTCATTTAATCATTTGAACAATGATTCAAATGATTCAAATGATTTCCTCATTCAAGTGAGGAAATTGAGGCAAAAGAGTTGTCAGTTGCTGCCACTTCAGTGTATTTATGGAATTTATATACTTCACTCCTCAAATTAAATTCTTGAGGGTAGAACAGTCTTCCTCATCTTTGTAATAGCTATGCTGGTATAGCGCCTGGCACATAATAGAAACAGGAGGAGCTCAATGAACATCTTTTGAACAAATGGCCAGAGCTGTCTCTCTAGGTTCTAACTGCAGACTTGGAAACTCTTCCTGGCCATTAGCCCTCTAATTTCTCCAGAGCATGCGAGGAGCATAACAAAAACGCATGTAGCAGAGTCCCACATAAGCTTAAGGAACCTAACAGTATTTACTAAACGGTTCTGCTGAAATGTATACATATCTTCATATATACCATCAAGCTTTTTCTGCAGCTATCTTCTTTTAAGTTTTCACAAATTTCCATGCACCCAACAGGCATTCAGAAAATACTAGTCAACGATGACGACATTAAACATTACATATAAGAATTCTAGATAAAGGAATGTGGAGCTTACTCTGATCTCGCAGAAAGTCGATTTCTGTGGCCATTTGGATACAATTTGTTTGACGCTTTCACCACCTTTACTTTTCCTAAAAAGGCACAAAGCTCGCTGTGCGGGAAAACAAATCTAAAGCAACGCTTCGGAGGTTGTCTACCAGTTGAGCGGTGTAATCAGCATCCTACTCACGTGGCGTCAACAGCCCCGCCGCACCTCCTTCTCCCGAGTCCCAGCCGAGTCCCTCGCTCAAGCGAGACACTAGATTTCAGGTTTGCTGGCGACCCGCCAGGTGAATTCTGTCCCACGTTCACCCGAATCCCAGCCAGGTGGGACCAGGGATGTACAGGCGTCCCGCGGGTCACTCGGGGTCGTGTTGGGCCACTCAGGAGAGCGCCGAGAGCGCTGGCGGGCAGCCGGGTGGCGGCGTCCTTGGCGGAGCGGGGAGCGACTGCAGGACTGCCGAGAAGCCCGGGCCAAGCAGCGGAAGTCCACTCGGCCCGCCCTGCGACTTTGAAACCGGTGCCCCAGACCGCTCCTTGGAGACGGTGACGCCGCCTGCGTCATCACGCAGACGTCTGCGTTTACGTCATCGCGCTTCCTGGAGTTCTCTCACGCTATTGGTTGTCTGTCAAGCGATGGGCGGAGCTGTGGAAACCTGGATGACAGCCGGCTGAGCCACCTGTGTGGCGGCGGACAAGCTGCTGAGCCCGCGTCCTAGGATGGCTGGGCCTAGCGGCTTTTTTTGTTTTTTTCTTTTATTCCTTTTTAAAAAAGAAAACCCCAAAAATGTAAACATAGGGCATTAACTACATATTTTAAATGCCCCCGTATCTTTGTTACCTAACACTTCTGGACTGGGAGAACTCGCTGGCCAGAGCGGATGGTTGGAAAGCACGTAGGTTTCTGCGTCTGCGGTCTGAACCCAGACTGGCGTCTTCAGAGTCTACCTCCAAAGCTGGAGGATTCTGGGTATGAATTTGGTAATCCCCAGGAACTAAGTACGTGGGTCTTTGAAGAAAGGACACAGCTGTTGTTTAGATAGTTAACCGCGTGGCAATAAGACATGTAGTTAGAAGCACTCCAAAGATCCTGCAAATTCAGCAGTTATTTCTTTAGAGATAACTTTGATTCCTCAAAAAAAGATGGAAAGACAAATTCACATTTTTTGCAAGAAATAATGAGGTAAAACTTTACATTTGTATACCGATTACAATCCCCATCTTTAAAAAATGATTATGTCTGGATTTAAAGCTCATCATTATTTTTAAAAGTTAACATTAGAGGAAATTTCAATCCCATCAATCAAAACGTTAACTTGAAGCCAGCCACCAGTTTTAGTGCTTTTTAATCAAATATGTGTTTTTATGGGTTGAGGTAAAGTTTCTAAATAGACATGTAGAAGTAGTCGATTTAGCTTTCTTTTTAACAGTTTAAGAAGTTTTTGTTGTTTGTACTCATAGTGTTATATAAACAAAGTAATGTCAGCAGAATGTATTAAGAAATTTTTTAAATGCGTCCAGCTGTATCCAGTTAGGTATTCGAAGTCCTGTTACAAGTTTTCTCCATACTCACTATTAAGAGAATGAGATAGACCTTCCCCTAAAGACTGGTTGTTACATATGGAGGCACATCTAATAACTATAAAAACTTTAATTTAGCTTTGAGTTAGTGAAGATTGAACTTGATCTAGTTGTTAGTGGCCATGAAGTTAACACAAAAACTTGTTGGAAGAAAAAATTGAAAGTGCAAACTCCAACTCTTTTTCGAAGGCTTTTTCTTCAGGAATGTCTCTCTGACTCCCCAACGACTTGTTTGTATCTTCCCCTACATTTGAACCTTGCATACTGTCATAGGGTGATTTAACTTGGCACCAAACAAGTAGTCATAAACTTAACTCTACATTTACACTAGAAGTTGATAAGATATTAGTATGGGTGAAAGCAAACAGTACTTTCTGGATGTAAATGATGAGGTGGTCTTCACACTGCAAAAATTAAATATCCAAAATTGGAGTTTTTATCTCTGTACTTGAATTATTTGGCCTAGATGGTCAATGTCAATACAAACTATATAGTTTTTGAGTTTTGAGGTGTGGTGGTTTGTTTCTTGGTGGCTTTTTTTTTTTTTTTTGGTTACAAGATTTTTACTGGTTGAATTTTAATGAAGTACTTTCAAAATAATTTTCATCTGTAAGAAACAAAGTTGCTATGATTTCACTTATCTTTATCTGCTCTAGTGTTCTTCCTTCTTAAAGCTTCCCTTCTGTTCTCTACCCACTTACCACAAGGTAGGTGCTTCCTTTGTGCTTACTTCGTGCTTCTTCCTGCAGTGTCTATCATATTGTTTTGTAGTTTGACTCCAGGCTCCATCATAGCACCTGGAACACAATGAGCACTTAATAAGTATCTGATAAAGAAATTAATTTAAAGAATGTGTGTGCATAGGAAGTATCTATTACCGTAATTGAGTACAAGGAATGAGAAGGAGAGAAAAGTACTTAGTATGTGTTTAACCATTATCTAGTCACTAATTCATGTTTTTTATATTGATATATTTCTGCAATAAGGAAAGCCCTAAAAATTAATAGATTTCACTAATATTAATTTATGCAGTAAATTGACATTGAGTACCAAGTACTGTGGGGAAAGCATCATGAAGAATACAAAGTTGGAAGTTTAAGCTAGGATCAAAACTTCTTTTTAACATTGTCTGATATTATTAAATGCCATAAAAAGTGATTTTTTTAAAAACTCTTAATAGTTATGTTTATTTGACCAACCAAGAGAAGGATGGCCTAGAAATTCAATCTCTCTTTTTAAGCTTATCTTTTTATTATTATAATTATTGTAGTAAAAAATACATAACATGAAATCTACTCTTAATTTTTAAAGTGTCAGGCACAGTATTGTTAATTCTATGCACATTGCTGTACAGCAGATCTCTAGAACGGTTTCATCTTGCATGACTGAAACTCTGTACCTATGGAACAACAACTCCCCATTTCCCTCTCCCACCAAAAGTGATTTTTATAAAACAAAAATAATCATTCTGTTAAAACAAACACAAAGGTTGTTTTTCCCCCAAGAAAGTTTTTTAAGGTATGTTATAAGCAGAATATATTTAGGCTGAACCATGTGAAATTGTTGATTTTTTCCAAAATTTCATATGGCTTAGCTTAATATTTTAACTGAAAATATCTGAATAATGGCAACACCCCAGTGTAATATCTGCTCTTGCAGACGGGGAGAAAATTACAGTAACTTTACTTAAACCTGTAGAATATGCATGCTCTTCTCAGAGTAGCTGTGACGCTCAGGTGTAGTGACTCCTTGCTGAATTAAACCCATAGATCCTATTAAAGTTTTGGTAACTCTCAGCAACTAGGACACAGAGCAATTCTATTTGGAAGCATTGTAATTCTTTAAATTATTACTTTTTTGTGAGAAGTTTAATACTTTATACATGATTTAGTTATTAATTTATTATCCTATAAAGAAACAATAATTTCACATTGCCTTGGGTGAAAGAGACAATAAGAAAATAGGCTAAGTGGTGCTGGGAAAACTGGACAGCTACATGTAAAAGAATGAAGAACACGGCCTAACACCATACACAGAAATAAACTCCAAATGGATTAAAGACCTAAATTTAAGACCAGACACTATAAAATTCTTAGAGGGAAACATAGGAGAAACGCCCTTTGACATAAACCACAGCAAGATCTTTTTTGACCCACCTCCTAGAGTAATGGAAATAAAAAAAATAAACAAATGGGACTTAATTAAACTTAAAAGCTTTTGCACAGCAAAGGAAACCATAAATAGGACCAAAAACCAACCCTCAGAATGGGAGAAAATATTTGCAAATGAAACAACAGACAAAGGATTAATCTCCAAAATATACAAACAGCTCATGGAGCTCAATATCAAAAAAAGCAAACAATCCAATTAAGAAATGGGCAGAAGCCCTAAATGGACATTTCACCAAGGAAGACATACAGATGGCCAAGAGGCACATGAAAAGATGCTCAACATCACTAATTATTAGAGAAATGCAAAACAAAAGTACCATGAGGTCTCACCTCATGCCGGCCAGAATGGCCATTATCAAAAAATTTAGAAATAATAAATGCTGAAAAGGGTGTGGCGAAAAGGGAATCCTCCTACACTGTTGGTGGGAATGTAAATTGATAAAACCACTATGGAAAACAGTATGGAGTTTCCTTAAAAAAGTAAAAATAGAACTACCATATGACCCAGCAATCCCACTACTGGGCATATACCCTGAGAAAATCATAATTCAAAAAGAGACATGTACCACAATGTTCATTGCAGCACTATTTACAATAGACAGGACATGGAACCAACTGAAATGTCCATCGACAGCTGAATGGATAAAGAAGATGTGGTACATACATACAATGGAATATTACTCAGCCATAAAAAGAAACAAAATTGAGTTATTGGTAGTGAGGTGGGTGGACCTAGAGTCTGTCATACAGAAAGAGAAAAACAAATACCATATGCTAACACATATATATGGAATCTTAAAAAAAAAATCTTAAAAAAAAATGGTACTGATGAACCTAGTTGCAGGGCAGGAATAAAGATGTAGACATAGAGAATGAACTTGAGGACACGGGATGGGAGGGGGAAGCTGGGGCGAAATGAGAGTAGCATGGACATATACACACGACCAAATGTAAAATAGATAGCTAGTGGAAAGCAGCCGCATAGCACAGGGAGATCAGCTCCATGCTTTGCGATGACCTAGAGGGGTGGGATAGGGAGGATGGTAGGGAGGCTCAGGAGGGAGGGGATATGGGGACATATGCATGCATATGGCTGATTCACTTTGGTGTACAACAGAAACTAACACAGTATTGTGAAGCAATTATACTCCAATAAAGATCTATTTAAAAAAGAAAATAGGCTGATAGATGCCGAAACTGCTGGGATAGTTAAGACTGAAGCAACCAGAATCATATCTCTAGAGCACTTAACCATATTCCATGATCTCAAGGGTCAGACTATCCTGTCTGAGAGTCTAGTTTTCTATAAGAAAACCACTTCAGAAACAGGTAATTTTAATGATTTGAACAGATAAATGTTTTCTTTAGGCAAACCTATATACTTTAATAATAATCTTTTTTTAGTACTTACTATGCCCTAGGCACTGTTCTAAATACTTTATATGTATATTAACTCATTTAATCCTCACAGAACCTTGTAAGGTAGTTGCTATTTTTAAATCCCTTTTACAATAACTTGCTGATGATCGCAGTTGGAAAGTGCCTGAATTTCGATTTGAACCCAGGCAGTCTGGTGCCAATGTTAGAATCGTTGACCACTATGTTTATACCTCCCAATAGGATAATATAATTTGCAGCTAGGATAATATTATTTACAGCTAGTGTAATATAATTTACAATTTTTGCTTTTATAGCCAGTTAGCCTTTAGTTACATTAAGTGAATTATTGCCGGACGTGTTCTATTGTAATCTTATGATTTACAGTTGATTTTTAAATTGTGCAACAATTTTAAATATTGCTGAGTTACCCTTCCTTCTTCCTCTAGAAAACCGCTCAAACTTCTGTGGAACGATTAAAAGTCTTCAGACTTTTAAGTCTTCAGACTTCAAGGACCAGCGGTGGTCCTTCAACAGGTCTCTGTGCTTCAGTCCGCCAAGTCCCTCCCCTAGAGCGTGCGGGCAGCGGGGCGGAGCCGCAGGTCCTTTGACCTCGGCCGCAGGGAGCGAGCGGGTGTTGGCCCGAGAAGAGACTCTTGGTCTGTGTTCCCTCCTTGTCAATGCTTTCTCCACTCTGTCGTTCCTCCCACCTTCTCCTAGTCTTGTTGGCTTTTTCTCTTGCAACTTATTTTTCAGCTGCTTCTGGCGGCACAGTTTCCTCCCACTTTCGGGCTAACTTCCTCCTTTCTCCGTTTCTCTCTTAAATGGACGCGGGAGACGGGGAGTGGGGGCGGGGAAGATGCAAACTGAAAAAAAATCATTTCTGTAGAAAGCTGAAAACAAACGTTCGTGAATAGAATATTTGGAAATTTTCCCCACAAAACGTTCAGTTGAGAGAACGTATTTTCCATAACTTCCTTCTTTTAACCTTTGTGGATTTTTTTTTTTTTTTTTTTTTTGCTCTCTAGGCTCTTAATGCTCCGGGGTTCCGTCTCCTTTTTCTTCCTTCATTTCCTTTTAAAGGTCTTCCCATAGTACAAGTAAAGCATGAAAATAATTATTTTCGACTTTTTTTGATGAAAGAATAATTTGAAGAATAGAAGTTAAAATGTGGAAAACTACAGATTAATAATAAACATTCTTTTTAAGAAAGTTTACACAGCCAACATAAAAATTGTATAGTAGAATGGTGTTCACCTTGAATGAATATATTCTTTTAATAATATTCCTAATATTCATTCTGACTTTTTAGAAATGTTCAGCATATATAACATAAGGGAGAAAAGAGGTCATCACTATAATGTTTGAGAGATCCAGCTTAAAATTAGACTTTAAAACATTTTTAATAATTTATTTTTGAATAAATGCATGTCTATCATAGTATAAGATTCAAATAGATTTAAAAAAAAACGGATACAGTTGAAAGTAAATCTTGCTTCCTCAGCTTTCTCAGGCAGATAATCCTCTCCAAAGAGGCAACCATTGCTACACTGGTTTCTTGTATATGCTTCCTGAGATAGTATATGCATTCACAAGCATATATGCAAATAGTCTTCCTTTTTATTAAGTAAATGTGTACTTTTTGCACCTTGCTTTTTTCACCTAATATATTTTAGTTGTATATATAGAGCTGCCTCACTCGTTTTAACTGCTGTGTGGTATTTCCTTGTAAGATATAGCATAGTTTATTTACTAGTTCTCTACTGATAGGTATTTAAGTTGCTTACAATATTTTGTTATTCTAAACAATATTACAGTAGATATCTTTATAACTTATGTCTTTTTGAATATATACAGGTGTAATAACTCCTAGAACTAGAATTGTTGAGTCAGAGGCCATTTGCATTTTTTATTTTGATAGATATTGAGGGATTGCGCTTGACAGAGTCTGTGCCAATTATGCCCCGACAGCAATATATTGATTGTTTCTCAGCATCCTCATTATCACAGCATTTTATCAAACTTTCTGATTCTTGACAATCTAAGGGAAAAATAGTAATTTATTGTTGTTTAATTTGCATTTCTATCATTATTAATGAAACTGAACATTTTGCATTTTCTTTCTGTGAGCTGGCTATTCATATCTTTACCCATTTTTTTGTTGGGATGGTCTTTTCATTATTGATTTCTAGGAGCCCTTTAAACATTAAAGAATTTAGTTATTTGTCTGAACTATGAGTTGCAGGTATTTTTTCCCAAACTGTCTTTGATTTTGTAATGGGTTTTTTTTGGTGGAGGAAGGCAGATTTTTGCTTTTCTTAAAAAATGTTTATATAGCCAAATGTATCAGTGTTTGTTTGTTTTTTAATGTCTTCTGGGTTTGGGATTATATCTTAAAAGGCTTTTTCTGCTCTAAGATCATCTTTTAAAAACAACCTCCCGATTTTTACTTTCTTGATTTTATTTGGTTTGATTTTTATGTTTATATCTTTGATTCATTTAAAGCTTAGTTTGGTGTAGCAGGATCCAACTTATTAAATTGGAGTGCAAAATGAACCAACTGCTAATGGATCTGGTCGGTTAGGACATGAGTTCTGGTTGATTAGCTACGTGAGAATCATCCCCAACTCCCCACAGACTTTCTTACACTTTATTTCTCCAGCACCTGCTATGGTGCCCGAAACAGAGTGAGTAGCTAATAAACCTTTGATAAACTAATTTGAAAGGAAATTTCTAGATATGATGTCTTATCTTAGTTATTTGCCGTTGTTCTAGTATATAGTGTTGAAAGAGATAGTGATACCACTAACAGTTGATTTCTCCTGCATAAAATCTTAGAATCATGAAATTTTAGATCCAGAGACTAGAACAGTTATTCACTCCACAAATAAATAATAAGTGCCTGTTACTTACAGCCATTCTAGCTAGGGATGCGGAGAAATAAAACAAGTACAATATGTCATGTAATGTAAGTGCTGTGAATCAAAACCGCAGTGTATGGGCAATAGAGAGTGGCAGGGAATGGAATGCTGCATGGATGCCCACTAGCCCAGGTTGTAAAAGACGTTAATAAGCGAATTGTCTCTACTTCATATGAGCACGTGTGCAAACAATGAAAATTGAAAGGTGGTGGGGGTAAAGCCTCCATAATCCTAAGTGTCCCAAGGGAGCTGAAAATCAATTGTCTCTGTCTGGGTCCATGTTATCTTTAGATTAGATTGTAAACTAGTGAGCAGGCCTATAATTTTTAGGTTGATTTTGTTATATTATGCATGCTTAGATTGACGTGAGTGTTCTTTAAGCAAATTAATAAATTTGTTGTTCTGATAAGAAACTAAGGTCATTTTATGCAAAAAGCCAAAATTATATTCTACCCTTGGGCATGTCAGCCATGGCACTCTTCCCTACTAGTGGAAGTCTAGCTGATATTTCTTGCAGTAATTTCCAGGCAATATTCAAAGAAATCTTAGGAGAAAAGGCAGAAAGAACCAGTAGAAAGACTTAGGTTTTCAGTACCTTGTACTGCCAACAAGAGTAGCTCTGCTTTTATCATTTATCTCTTCTTATCTTCCAGTTAAGATTACATTTTGAAGTAATTTGAAGCCGTACTCTGACATGACCCATCATGTGTGCATGGAAATGACAGGCCATTTTTAGGAGCACATCACTGCATATGGTTTAATTCCATTTAGACATAGAGACGATGGCCTAAAAGAACTGGGAGTTGAAAATTCCATGGTGGAAGCCCACTGATATAGGATAGGGATCCCTTTAATGTGTGCAGCATTTTTTTGTGGATATGCTGGTTGCATGGAGAATTAGTGAATCAACTAAAACTTCCTAGTCGCTGAGCTATATTTTCCCAGGATTGTCAAGAATTGTCAAGCCCTAAGTTAGGAGCATAGCATATTGGTGCCAGAATCAGATTTAATCAGCATTTCTAACATCTTGATTTATTCTTATTTCTTCTTGTATGCTGCAAGAGGGTAATTACGTACCAAAATTTGTAGTAGAGGGTGATATATTTGTTTTGAAGAATGTGCCTTGATATTTCAACTAAAGAAAATAAATTTATTATTGAGGTATTTTATTCCAGCCAAATCAGGACTCAATTCCACATAAGTCAGAATCAGTTTATACAGTCTTATCACGCACTGAGCTTATTTCAGTGATGAAGAATATAAATTGCTGAACATATCCTCTTCTGAAATGCTGTTAGTTGCAAATGGGTTGCAATACCAGAACTATTTTTTAATTTTAGAAGTTATCTATTAAAATTTCTTAGCATATAGTGAAAACTGAGAAAAGCTACGTACTTTACAAAAAGGTTTTTGGAGATCTTGGATTTTGTATGTGACACAGAACTTACGTATTTGGATCTCCCAGTGCTGGGCACATAGTAGGTATTCAGTACATATTTGTTGAAATAAATTTATTGAAGTATAATTTTATGAAGCCATCACATTGTATACCTTAAATATATATAATTTTTGTCAATTATACGTCAATAAACCTGAAAAAAAATGTTAAGAAATAAATTTATTCAAAATGTAAAACTTTATTACTTGCAATAAAAATAACATGAAGCAAGGAAATGCATTCAGTGACTTCAGGTAAGCGAAATTAGTCTGGAAATACCATCATTTACAATCAAGGTTATCTTTTGGACAAGACGTAAGGACCTAGTATAATTTAGGGGAATCCATCATTCCCAAAATAAGGTTTTCATCTGTTTGCAGATTTCTGAAATGTCTTCATCTGGGAAAGCATGGCTGACATTGGTTCAGTTTCTTGATTTATTAGCTATTTGACCTTGGACAAGTCTGTTTCTTTGTTTGTAATGAGGATAATAATAGTTCCTCTACAAGTTTTTGTGAAATTAAATGAGATAATGTTTATAAAGTGTTTGATCCATAGTGTTCAACAAAACATAATTTTATTAATATAATACTATGTCCTTCCATTTAATCCTTAGAGTAACAATTTAAAATGCAAATACTGCTTGCATCAGATGTACTTAGTCTATTTCATAGTTTAAATGATAGCAGATTTTGTTCCCATATTTCAATTGGAGAAAAGGGATTAACTGAGCAAATGGTCATTTAACACTTGAAATATCAAAAATTGAAAAGGCTAAGGAAAACCATACCCTGAGACTAGGGAAGACAATATTAAACTCTGCCTGCCTTCAAATGGTTGAAGACCCCTCCACTCCCACCCCAAAAAGAAAAGTTTTAGCCAAAAGAACAGGTGCTAACAGCAATGCTTGCACTCATTTATAGAGATTTTGAAAAATCAAATTTTACTATAAAGATCTTGATTCCCAGGGGATCCAGTAATTCATCTGCACATTTTACAATAAGACAAAGGATGGCATATAAACTCATAGTGCTTAGAGTTGTTGAATACATGAACAGTTTGCAGTGGATTTAATTACAGTTCTTAAAAACTATTTTGATACACCCTTTAGTAGGTAACTCAAGGTGGCTCTAGACTTAAAGTCTTAAAGCTTTTAGGATCCAACTACCTATTTTATAATAGAACTCCATGTCCATGATTTACCATAACACAAATGGCCTTTTGACTCTCAGAACCTTGTTCTTGTCACTCTGCTGCCTTCCTACCTTTGAAATTTGGCTTTGAAATTTTCATTTCATTTCTTTCTAAAGGAAACATTTGTAAATTGTTAAAGAGGTTTTTTTTTTTTTTAATATTTTTTCCCATTAGAGTCTTCAAATGGATTTTAAAATTGAACACACTTGGGATGGTTTTCCAGTGAAGCATGAGCCAGTGTTTGTCAGGCTGAATCCAGGTGATAGAGGAGTGATGATGGAAGTCAGCGCTCCATTTTTCAATGATCCTCCAGCCCCACTAGGAGAACCAGGAAAGCCTTTCAATGAACTGTGGGATTATGAAGGTAAGTGGAAGTCCTGTATTTTATTGCAGACATAAATCTTTTTATAATAACCTTTCATAGAACTATTATTTTATCTTGCTGTAAGGAAGTGAGTGCTTCTGAGCAACTGACATGTGCAGTTTCTGTTATTTCCTACCAATCTCGCACTCTTGACTTTTTCCCGTTACCTACGTGACTTCGACTATATAACTAGAACAGTGAAAAATGGCAATTACAAATCCAGATTTTTTAATTGCTGCTATATTTCCTTCCTTTACTCCTGTTACCTATTCTGAGTTCAGCATTTGTTTTGTTTTTAAGTATCTTCAAATTGCCACTTTAACCTTATAAACCTTCTTTATGGAAGCTTTGGGGTGTTTCACTTATTATGAAAACACCATTAACTTAAACATGAAATGTAGTTTTTATTTTATACTGGCAAGTAATCTCACACATTAAGTGAGGGCTAAAAGACCGGCCATGAAATTCCAGTTTCAGGTTTGCTGTATGATCACCTTCTAATGAATCCTAATTAAGCCACCAAACTTATCTTTCTCAAATAATCTTTATGATGCCATTTCCTAGATTACAAATCATTCCTGTCCCTAAGATAAGGTTCAAACCCTTCCCGTAAGCTTCCAGGGTACTCCTGAATCAAGCTATCAAATTCAACCAAAAGTTCTTGACTTCCAAAAAGCTGATAGTCTCATTCGTGCATATTCTCACTCATGTACCTTTTCTCATTCGAGTCCCCCTGCCTCTAATGCACATTGTTCAAGGTCTAATTCAGGTTTCATTTCTTCAAAGAAACCTTTGATGACTCTTCTAGTCCATACTAACATCTACCTTCTCTGTACCATCTATATAGTATGCATTTTGCCAGTGTTAATCTATCATATGTTAAACATATGTTGTCTTTTATTGTTATAGAACTTGTATATACCAGCTTCCTGTTGGTGTACACACTAATGTGAGTTATCTACTGGAGGTACTATAGACACCAAACTCAACAAGTCCTAAACTCAACTCATCCACTTCTCTCATAAACTTGCTTCTTTCACTAATTGCCCAATCTCAATCAATAGCACTATAATACATCGAATCACCAAATGTAGAAATGTGAGATCTTTCCAAGATATCCTTCTCTCTCACTCTCCATATTTGGATTTATTTAAGTCCTGTCAGTTTCACCTCCTAAATGTTTCTCTCATTTATTATCTCTTCTTCATCCTACCATCCTTGCCATAGGTAAAAGACTTTAAAAGGAACAGTAAGACTCTGAGTTGTGGATGGGGCTATATCTATATCTTAGATATTTTATTATTATAAAAATAACACATGGAAAACTAGAAACAACCTAAATGTCTATCAATAAAGAATTATGTGAATAAATCATAACATTCTATAGAAGAATACTATGCAGTAATTAAAAAGAATTAGGTATCTATATGCTGTACAGTTGTGTGTGTGTGTGTGTGTGAAAAAAGCAAGTTGTAATCAGAAAATGATTCCATATATATTTTTTTAACCTATGCAGGTAAAATAGATTATGGAAGGACAGAAGAAGTCTGATAGGTTTTAGAGCAAAGTGGGAAGAAAAGGACTTTGACTTTTTATTTAGATATATGTTTATGTTCTTTTAATAATTTAAAAGAAACGTGTCACTTTTATAATTATACAGTTTTTTAAATAAACATGCTCAGAAAATTTCAGGAAATTATAAAGAAAAATCACTCAACCTGTATTCCACCTGTCAGAGATAACCAACCATAACATTCTTGTGCATGTTTTGCAGGCATCTAGGCACAGGCATATGTGCACATTTTTGTTTCATGTGCATTTGGTTATTGCTCTGCAGCCTACTTACCAAATATCATGGATATCTTCCTATATCAAAAAATATTTAACTGTATATTTTATTTTAATGACTGCATTATATTCTATCACATGGAATACACAGATTCTATAATTTATTTAACAGGTCTCCTATATAATAGGATATTTATTTATATAACAGGAGATAACAATTTAGACCATTTCTTTTTGAGTAATACTGTACTTTGATGAATAGCATCTTACTTCTTTTTCAGTTGTGTGATTATTTCCTTAGGATAAATTCCTAGAAGAAGATAACTAGCTCAGAGTCTGTGTGATATGTTCATTTCTTTACAACCTCACCAGCACTAGGCTTCATTAATATTTTTATTTTATGGTAATCTGATATGGGGGAAAAAATGATGATTTATTTTCTATGTATTTTTTTCTTCCAGGCAATGTCTATTTATTTTATTTTCCCCTTTTACTAGTGGTGATATAGCTTTAATTAAAAATAATGCATTAATTCACTTTATATTCTAAAGGTATAAACAAATTATTTATTGTTGAAGCAAAATTAAGTTTCTCAATATGTCATATCTGTTTTCAAAAGTTGTGGAAGCATTTTTCTTGAATGACATAACTGAACAGTATTTAGAAGTTGAACTTTGTCCGTAAGTATAAAATATTTCTTCTAACTCACTACTACATATTTTGAACACATTATTTTCTAATTATATATCATGGATATAGTAAAAGCTCACTAATTCTAGTTAACTAGTCAGAATGCTAATTTGAATTAATCTGAATTATATATAATTCCTTATTTTCAAGTAAATGTATAATGTAGAATATATAAGCTTTTAGAAATATTATGTTGATACTATTTTCAATTCACTAATGTAGTTGGTTTTCTAATAAATTTGAAGGTGTTTTTGCAAAATGAAAAATTAGTATAAAACTCTTTCATTATTTACTCTGTAAATTTGCATTGTTATATATTAGCTATTTAGAAATAAAGAGAGGCATATTCATTATTTACTCTAAATTTGCATTATTATATATTAGCTATTTAGAAATAAAGGGAGGCATATAGGTATAATGAAGTGAACTACTTTATGAAAAAGTTTCTTTTAGGGGATTCTTTTAATAACTAGATTAAACTTTAATTTTATATATTACATAATTATGTATTCATGTATTCCTTCCTTTATTTATCATTCATTTACTGAGTGTATACTATGTCACTTTATGTTCAGTGCCAAGGATAAAAACTAAATCACACATGGCTTTTCCTAGACTTATGAAAAATATTAACCTTGGACTCTTTTTGTACAAATTTAACTTGTCCTTGGGAACTCTCTACCTGGTTGGCAGTTTTTTTCCTGTAGAAGTCAAAAAGTAAATCTATACCTACCTGTTATCTAAATTATAAGAAATTTTAAGTTAATATTTAGTAATGAAATATTTCTTTATATTTCCATTACTCATTTAAAATGACATTTAAATACTTCTCAGCATCTGTTATCTAGTAGCCTTTGTCCTTTTGTAGACTGAGCAGAGTCCCAAACAATTGATTTCAATGAGATTTTAGATATCATTTTCTTTTCCCTTATTTTGATTTCTTGCTAATGCTAGTGTGGAAAATATAGCTGTTCACAATTATATTTTTCAGAAGAGTAATTATATGTCTTTGTTACCCTTCAACTAATATGCCAAAATCTTTTATTGAAAAATATGATAAATTCTCATAAACTGTAATGTGAGGTAAGAAAATTTCACCATACACATGAGGAAGCTAAGGCAAATAGGTTTACAACTTGTCTAGAAGATAGTCAAGAACTTGAATCTGCTAGAATTCTAAAGTTACATCCTTAGTTTAAATTTTTAGATGATAATATCAGTTTATTTTTATAAAGTGATGACTTAGCATAAGATACATCAGATAATTAGATTATCTTTTGTTAGGAAATTATTCAATAACCATAATGTATAAAATTAATAAATTCTAAAAATTTGTTTTTAGATACATCAGGACAGTTAATAATCAAGAATCATGGTTTTGCTTCAGGCAATCAACTCCTGTGACAGTTAACCTCTAGGAAAGCAACTTGAATATGTTTGTTTGAATTTTTAAGAACTTTTATTGTTCTTAGGATATTTTTAAGGTTGCATAATAACAATAAAAGGAAGCAGAGAACTTTTAACTGGAAAAGAATACTTGTTTTCTGTTAGACTAGTTTCTTGAAGGAAATCCTTCCTGAAAAGCTCCCAACAGACCATCTGTGTCAAAATGTATAGATATAGTCTTTTCCAGAGACCGTAAATTTGCTTCATGTAACTATTTGAAATCCTTTGATTCTTACTGACATGGATAATCCCAACTATGCTCTCTTATTAGAATTTTCTTTTGGGAGTATGTTGTGCTTCTCCTTGAAGATGTGACATCAGTATCAGAACTAATGGTTGAAAGCAGGAAAACACAGCAGGCAGATAGGTCGAGGATAGTTGTATGAGAAAATAGTTACAAATTAAAGTCTTCAACCTGTTAAGTAGTTTTAGACAATCTATATTTTTATCTTCCATCTTCGTAATGAGCTTCAAGACAGTTTTCTTATAGAAATAACCTTTAATATGTTTGTTGGATTTTGACCTGGAAATTGGTGCCAGCTTCCCTTAGGATACTTTCATTTTTGAAACGAGTTTTATTATGAACTCCAGATACCCCGCCCCTTTTGCATACTTTGGAGCATCTAACCAATTGAAGTATTTCATATAGTTTCCTATTTAAAGAATATAAAAAGGAGTCTGAACATGTGTAGCTTTATGCATTTGACGGCAATTGCCTGGAAAGTGTTAAACTCAAAGAAGCCATTTTTAAGTAACTGAACACGCTGGCTGTCCCTGTAATTATCCAATATTCATATTGCATCTTTTAATTATTTGGAAATTTAGTTACAAGCATACACATGGCAGATATGAAGGATAGTGAGGATAATAATGTTTATTTCAAACACTCATGAAGAATTTTAATTTTGACAGCCATGGACAGCATTTGGTGCTTTTACTCTCTGGAAAAAGAAATGTATGGAAAGTAAGTAAATAAAAATATGAGACAAAATCCTTAAGTGTATAAGATAGATTTTTTAGTGTTAATATATACATATTTAAATATTATTATAAATATGAATTTACCTTTTGTGTTTCACATGTTGTTTCTGTAGCAAGAACTTGATCTATCGTTCAAAGCGTCCAGAGGAGAGACAAAATGGGAAGGTAGAGCTTATCTTCCTTGGAGTTATTTTCCACCAAATGTGACAAAATTCAATTCATTTGCAATTCATGGATCAAAAGATAAAAGAAGCTATGAAGCTCTTTACCCTGTACTTCCACATGAGCTGCAGCAAGGACAAAAACCTGATTTGTAAGTAGAAAATAAATGAAAATATGTCCCAACTATAACAGTTTTTAAAAATTAATTCTTGGTAGAGTAGTAGTAACATTTTTTCGTCAAAGAAGACACGTGTAAAAGCACCAAGTAGAGTTCTATGTGTCCTGATGGTCTTCAGTGAGTATCTGGCAGACTGACTTTGGACAAACAGTCTCTCTCACTGCTGTCAGTAGAGCACTTAGATTTCCATGGCAGTGTGAGAAAAGTCTTGCTTAGTGAGTATTACTACAACTGGCATAGAAGTGTGGTTGTAAGTTTATTTATGATCCCTTTCAGAGCGAAATGGCCAGAGGCATCTGTTTTTCCTGGTGTGAGCAAAGGGTTTTGCAAAGAGCAAATCCTTTCCCCTTGCTGCTTGAGAATCTGACATTAAGTCAACTCTCTAGTTCTCTTCTCCTGGTAACCTCATAAGGATAAAAATGTCAGCTCTATTTCTAGGCAGCATAGATGGAGACAGCACAGCTTTGGGATTTCCCTTTAACAGTAATGTTCTCTGTGGGGACCCTGGAAGCTATACCTAGGGAGCTATTGCAAGAAATACTGTCTCCTGTTGGACAGCGGGCATACAAGCCAGGAGATCTCCTATGCTTTCCCATTTTGAGTCTGATCTCTTTGCACCTGAAGCTGTCACTTAAGGAGAATGTAGCCCTGGCCAGCCTTCATGGACTGCTGCAAACACTACCAGCTCAGGGAGGAAAGCCAGCCTCTGTCCTGGGGCAAGCTGAGATTCCCGCACTATAGCTATAGCGCGTACTCAAGTGGCCAACGTAGTCTGTGAGTCTGCGTGTTTAGAAAAGCCTAACAGAGACATCGTAGTGGGCTTTGTACTCTGGTACACAGATTTCGTTGCCTTTTCACCCTTGGAAAGTGCTGCACTGTTCTCCTTCTCCCTTGCCCTTCCTGTCATGCTCTTACTCCGCTGTACTTGACTTTTTATCTCTTCTAGCTTATTCCTTTATTCTGCCAGATGCATTTTTCCCTTTTCCCCTTGCTTTTCTAGGAAAAGCCTCTTTCTCCCTTTCTTTCTCTTATCCTTCACTGTCGTTTTCTTAACTGCGTAACCTGGGTTGACTAAAACTGGCCCCGCCTGGTCAGATGGACAGAGTAGGACAGGAATCTAGATGTAACTCACCCAGGGCTCACATATCAAGATGGCATGTTTCTCTGGCTCTTCACAAGCTAATGTATTCCTGTATTCAGGCTTCCTACATATAGGTTATCGGAGGCTTACTCTAGGTAAAAGTATGATTATGCCATTGGCTAGGGCAGAATGATTTCCTACAGAGCAGAGTTCCATTGCAGCATGTTAGCTAACCTTTCTCTCATTAAACCACAACAGAAAGCTTCCTAATGGTTTTCCTAGAAAGAAAAGAACTAGAATTAACCCTCTTTTACATAAACCTGCCTTGCTTTGGCAAAGGAGTCTGTTCTTTAATCTGTTGAGCTGAAACCTTTAAAAAAACAGTTATTTACATAACTGATATAAATCATCAAAGTTTGAATATGAAAACATCTGTAAGAGTATAATATGATTTGTTTAAGGCTAGATGGAACGAGTCAGGTTTTCAGGGTTGGTTTTTATTTTTCCCTTCAGCTGTGAGGGAGCTATCTGCAGAACTGAAAGGAGAGTGCTTTGAGATATGGGTGAATATTTTCAGAGTTGAATGATTGCTAGAGTGAGAAAATTGTACATGTAGAATACATCTTACCTTTGATATTCTTAAAATAGAATGTCCTATAACAGATATAACAAAATGAATAGCCCTTCAGGACAGCTTTTTCACAAATGCATAATTCATTTCAATTCCAACCATCTTTTTCTTTGCATTTAGCCATCATCTGGAATACTTCAAGCCTTTCAGTTTTAACACACTGCTTGGAGAAGAGTGGAAACAACCAGAGTCAGACCTGTGGCTAATAGAGAAACCTGATGTGTAGGAGTATAGTAGATGACCACATCAATCATTTCTTCTCTGTACCTTTTAAGGTAAACTAATAATAAGTATAATCTCTTTCAAGACACCATGAACACATTTCAACAATAAATATTTCATAGAGGTCAGTGAAGGTATGTAGTATCTCTGTGGCAAATTGTGTATGAATTAACAAGAAAGTAGAAAGTTCATGTGTGATTTTATCTATAAAGTGAAAATGTTTCTTGGAGCCACTTAGTCCAGGAGCCATCATGCCAAGGGGCTCTACCATCTGCCTTGCAGCACCATCACCCCACATATCCCGGACTCGGTCAACCAAAATCAATATTTCTCTTCCCACTCCCCTAAACCTCAGCCAGCTTATGACTGAACATCTTATTTGTACATTTTTGAACTCCATAGTAATGTATAATAATTCTTTACTCAGACTCCTGTGTGCATTTTTGAAATGAATAGAAAACAATGACATATTTCAGTAGAACAGGAGGTGTACATCTGTTAAGGCATTATTAAAATACATGTGCTATTTAATTAGCTGTATTTCCTGTCTTATGACTATTTTTCTTCTGTAGAAGAAAGTGGAAAGAAGTAGTCTTGAATTCGGCCAACAGATTCTGCTTTCATTTACAAATAAATGACATTTTCTTAATGCTGTTAAACAAGATGTCAAAATTTCTTCATTTTATTTTATAAACATCAAACACTCCTGGTCCATAATTTTCAAATTTTGTATTACAATTCATAGCTTGAAGCCATCTAGTAGATTATCTATGAACTTCTCCACCAGACCTGGTCCTTTACCACCATTCTTAACTCAGAGATTAGCAGTATTACAGAAGAAGAACATTTATTACTTGTACAGATACCTAGCTGCCTACCCAGCGATATAGTTTTTCCTCTTCTTCTTTGCTAACTCTTATATAGCTTGAATTTTTAGGGGATTTTCTCAAAAACTACATTTACTCATATTCCTTTGCAGGTAGAAATAGCACTGTAAAACAGTTTAGGTCAACGAGATTTAAGTATACAGTGTTAGATGGGCCTTCAAGAAAAGATGCCTCACAGATGAAGGACTCTGCTGCCATGTACCTTTTGTCCTTTGCCTTCCCTCTCCCTTTTTCCTGAATTATAGAATTAATACCCGAGGTAACATGCTTGCTCCATTGTGTTAATGAGGAGACAACCCAAGAATAGCTCAGTAGCAAGATAAAGGAGCCTGGGTTCCAAACAGCACAATAAAGTAACATGTCATATCTGGACTGCTACCTACAGATTTCTTTATAAAGAGAAAATATAAACTGCCTAATTTGTTTCCACAAATCAATCTATAGATTCAATGCAATCCCATTTAAAAAAACCCAGAAGGCTTTTTTTTTGGTAGAAATTGACATGTTGATTCAAATTTTATATGGAAATGCAAAGGACCTGAAATAGCCAAAAAAATTTTGAAAAAGTACAAAGTTGGAGGACTTGTACTACCTGACTTTAAGACTTATTGAGCTTCAATAATGAAGAAAATATGGCCTTGCATAGATTTAGACAAATATATCAATGGAACAGAATAAAGAAACCAGAAAAAGAACTACATATAGTCAATTGATTTTTGACAAAGGGAAAGGGTAGTCTTTTCAACAAATTGTGCTGGAATAACTGGAAAAACATGAAAAGAAATTAACTTACCTAACAACCTACAGGAAAATTAACCTAAATGTGACTGGTGAAATGAAAAAAGTTCTAGAAAAACTCTTCACATTCAAGGGTAGACAAAGATTTTTTTCAAACAGGACATAAAAATCACTAAAAAAGAAAAAAAATGAGAAATTGAACTTCATCAAAATTTAAAATTTCTGTTTGTCAAAAGCTTCCATTTAAGAAAGCAAAGAGGCAGTCCAGCAATTCCACCCCTGGGTATCTATATCTGAAAAAAAATGGAAACACTAATTCAAAAATGTACATGGACCCCAGTGTTCATAGCAGCATTATTTACAGTTGCCAAGATATGGAAGCAGCCTAAGTGTCCATCAACAGATGAATGGATAAAGGAGATGTGGTACATATATACAGTTGAATACTACTCAGCCTTAAAAAAGAAGGAAATTTTGCCATTTGCAATGACATGAATGGACTTGGAGGGCATTATGCTTAGTGAAAAAAGAGAAAGACAAATACTGTATGATATCACTTATATGTGGAATCTAAAAAATAAAACAAACTAGTGAATACACTGTAAATCCCCTATATACGAACGAGTTCTGTTCCGAAAGTGTGTTCATAAGTCCAATTTGTTCATAAATCCAACGAAGTTAGCTTAGGTACCCGACTAACACAATTGGCTATATAGTACTATACAGTAATAGGTTTATAAAACTTTTCACACAAATAATACATAACAAACAAAATGAAAACATTTTTAATCTTACAGTACAGTACCTTGAAAAGTACGGTGGTACAGTACAACAGCTGGCATACAGGGGCTGGCATCGAGTGAACAGGCAAGAAGGGTTACTGACTGGAGGAGGGAGAGGAGGTGGGAGATGGTAGAGCTGAAGGATCGACAGCAATAGGAGATGGAGGGCAAGCTGCAATTTCACTCACACCTGACGCGGATGGCACAGGTTCTGGTCCCTTGCTGGATTCAATTCTATCTCTTGGAAAAACGATCCAGTGATGTCTGGGTAGTAGCTCTTTTTTTCTCACCATAGATGACACGGTAGCACTGGACTGCATCCTGAACGGCTGCTGCAACCTTTGTGTAACGTTCTACACTCGGTTCCTGTGCCTCAAAAAATAACAGTGCCTCCTCAAATAAAGAAAATCCCCTTGTCATTTCCTGCATCATGAATCTCTTCAATTCTTCAGTTACTTCTTCCTCTGTCTGTCTTCGTCCTTTCTCTGGGCACGTTTGCATCTTTGAAAGTTTGCAACTTGAAGATTGGTATATAGGTGACTTACTGTATAACAAAAACTGAACAGACTCACAGATACAGAGCACGAACTAGTGGTTACCAGTGGGGAGAGGAAAGGGGGAGGATCAAGTTAGGGGTAGGAGATTAAGAGGTACAAACTACTATGTATTAAATAAATAAGCTAAAAGGATAAATTATGCAACACAGGGAATATAGCCAATATTTTATAACAATAAATGGAATATAACCTTAAAAATTGTGAATTACTATGTTGTACACCTGAAACTTATGTAATATTGTACATCAACTATACCTCGATTTAAAAAAAAGAATTAGAAAAAATAGATAGTGAAGAGGCAAGCCACAGATTGGGATAAAATATTTAAAATAGATATATCTGATAAAGGACTCTTCCCAGAATACATAAAGGACGCCTACAAATCAGTAATAAAAGGACAAGCCAATTAAAGAGCAAAAGACTTGAACAAACACTTCACAGAGGAAAATATATAAAAGGGCAATAAGTAGAAAGTATAGCAAGGTTCTCAACTTCCCTTATCACCAAGGAAATGGAAATAAAAACCACAACAAGGGGCTTCCCTGGTGGCGCAGTGGTTGAGAGTCCGCCTGCCGATGCAGGAGACACGAATTCGTGCCCCGGTCCAGGAAGATCCCACATGCTGCGGAGCGGTTGGGCCTGTGAGCCATGGCCACTGAGCCTGTGCGTCCGGAGCCTGTGCTCCGCAACGGGAGAGGCCACAACAGTGAGAGGCCCGCGTACCGCAAAAACAAACAAACAAACAAAACACAACAAGATACCACTAAATAACCAAAATTAAAAATTCACACGATGGCTAAAATTGGAAATGACTGACAATACCAAGAGTTAATGAGAATGTGGAGTACCTGCATCACAGGTTCAGATATAAATGATAACTTTATAATATGGGGGCAAAGTAAAGCACAAATATCCTAGATACAATCAAAACCATAGTAAAGATTGAATTTGGATGTTGCACTTTGTGAGCTATCTGAAACCTAATATGTATCTTCTTTTTATCTGTTTAGATGCTTTGAAAATATCTTTTGACTTTCTTTTCTCTAGATAAGAAATATTTTCCTTCTTCTAATACCAAGCAAGCAAAAACACATTATGTTAAACATTTTCTTTGGAAAGGAACATGCAGTTCAGGGAAAATTTATCCATTAGTCAGATACAAACAATGCACCCCATAGAAACTTAGTATTTGAGAGTGGGTGTTTGTAATAGCTGTTTCAAATTTGTTTTTCCACTTTAGGACCATGAAAGAATATCATTTCTTTGTTTAAGATATGCATAAATGCATTTCCTTGCTGGGTTGTGAATTGTTCACTATAGTTATCAGGCAGATCCTCTCTTCTCGCCACGTAAATAGATTACACTATTACACTATCAGGTGCTTTCTCATGCGTTTTCTCAGCTCCAGTAAACTAAGTCACAGTCCAGAGGGAAATATAGTTTTTATTTTTAGCCCCCAAATACTTCTTTTTCAACCTTAAAAAATTTTTTGCCACAGAAAAAATAAGTTTATCTCTTCCTTTTCTTCCTTCTTTTTAAAATGTTAGGCTTTGAGGGCAGAAGATAGTGAATATATTGATAACTAATTAATCTGATATTTAAAAAGACAGAGGATGCAAATGGTGGAGCAATTACAGTAAGCCCTCAACACTTGTGCTCATGCCTCAAAGCCCAAGGCTCATCTCCTCGTGCCCTTTGAAGTTTCCATAGGAGTTTAACATTACTGTATTTTGGTACTTACCCCCACTGTGCATTAGGAAGCTCTCCTGACCCACCTCCCATCCTCTCAGCCTAACATTTTACTCCAGCAGCCAGTTGGACTCAGGGAACTGACAGCATCCTGTCTCATGGCTTGTCTGCTGCCTCAGCTTGGGCTGGCTAAAAGTATATTTAGCCAGTCTCGCGCATAAACTACCTTGGATGTGAGAGGGAGCTAACACCTCATGGGACAACTCTTTTTTTTTTTTAAATTTTTATTGGCATATAGTTGCTTTACAATGTTGTGTTAGTTTCAACTGTCCAGCAAAGTGAATCAGCTGTACGTATCCATATATCCCCTCTTTTTTGGATTTCCTTCCCATTTAGGTCACCACAGAGCATTGAGTAGAGTTCCCTGTGCTCTACAGTAGGTTCTCATTAGTTACCTATTTTATACATGGTATCAATAGTGTATATATGTGAATCCCAATCTCCCTTTCATCCCACCCCACCCTCCCATTCCCCCTTGGTATCCATACGTTTGTTCTCTACATCTGTGTCTCTATTTCTGCTTTGTAAATAAGATCGTCCAAACCAATTTTTTCAGATTCCACATATATGCGTTAATATACAGGATTTGTTTTTCCAAGAAGGATGGGAGTAGGTGAATAAATACTCCTTTCTTTCATCCCTCGGGTTGACAATTCGGAGGTCGATTCCACACAGCTCCGTAGAAGACACCTAAAAGGATCACACTCCAGTTGCTCACAGCAGTGGCCAAATCAAAACACAACTTATATTGCCTTTCCCTCATTTCCCATTTTACTGTTCCTAGTTCTTTACTGCTGTTTGGAATTACTTTACCAAAATCAACCTATATGCAAGCCCTTGTCCCATGTCCGCTTCACGGGGAACCCAGGCTAAGTCAGTTGTTACCTGAAGTGGCCCTCAGAAGTAGCCCATTAGGACGGGAATCAGGAACTGTATCACTCATGGGGCATTCAGTGATAGGGACCCCATTGGTGGTGGTGATGACCCTGCTGTAACATCAGTTACTAAGACTTTCACCAGTGGTAGACTGGCTTGAAGACCAGGTGTAGGTCAAACATCAGTGTGATAGCACTTGGCATAGAAGCAGTGGAAATAATAGGGACTGTGGAGTTAACTGCTTTTTTTTTTTAAACAATTCGGACGTTGAAATAATTTCATTTGCTATTTCTCCACTAATAAAAAGTAACAATTTGGAGGGGATTCTGAGAAGATGGTGGAATGGGAAGCACCAGGAATGTGTCTACCCACCTGGACAACAATTGCACCAGCAGAACTGTCTGATCTAATTGCTTTGGAACTCTGGAGTCTGTTGAAGGTGGAGTTGACTGCTTTCTGATAAAGGCTTTGGAAACCTTGAAAAATGAAAATAGCCAACTACAAACTAGAGGCACTTTGTGAGCATCAGAAAAATGCACATCAACATTTGAATTAGCCGAATTCCAGCAGCTGGAAGGCAGAAAGTGTGGAAAGTCGAGTTCAGGATTTGCTGGTAAGGGTAGCAATACTGCAAAGGAGACTGAATGCTCGGCTTTGACTCCTGTGTTGAAATTAGGTGTTGAAATTAGGGGCCTCATAGAGAAAGAGTGGGACCCTGAGACCTGGAATGAGGACATTTGAATGGATGAGCCTGTTCTGGCATATCTTGAACCCCAGATTTTCCTTCACCCTCCGGGCTGGCAGAAGCAGCTCCTTTACCCTCGTCAGAGGCAGTCATCCTCAACTTGCCTAGACATTCCCCCCAAAACCTCACCTATGGCAGATCCTCAGAAATAGTACTTGCCAAAACATGCCATTTCCTCACCAGACTGAAAATGAGGATCAGATTGCAGCACGGCTCAAGCGGAAACAGCAGTAATAAGTACATGCCATGGGAAGAAGTACTGTGTTCACTGAAAGGTTATGGGACCTGGAACCAGGGAAGTACATGTTGGAGTGGATCTAGTTATTCTACTAGAGAAGGCAGTATATATGGCTGGAAAGGGGAAAAATTTATTGGCACGGGATGTTAAACTTGGGGCTTAACACCTTGACAAGGCTAGTTCGGGGAAAATACAAGATAAGTCTAGAGCATCTTCTAGGGCCAGAAAGTAAAGAAGCACTAAAAAGGAAAATAAATAACTAAATCAGTGGGCACTACCCATTTTCTGATCACTTCTTGTCCTAATTTTTCTCTATAGGAAAAAAATTTATAAAATTGACTATTATAACCATTTATTATCACCAACAATTATTTTTCATGTAAGGAATAGTGAAAATATTATCACTAGAGCTAGGATGACCCATGTATGAAGAATATAAGAAACTAGAAGTTATAAATCTATCTATGAAAAGTGAGGAGTCTCTGTACAAATTCCACTTTATAATTTCATGATAAATAGTACTTAAAATATTATTTTCCATACAGTGTGATCCATAAATTTTATGCCTGATGTTTATAAATCTAATATGTAATTTAAAGGAGAAATAGTAGAAAATATTGTCAAATGATATACACTTGACCATTTGTATGAATTACAGTAATATGTAATAACATAATTGGCTATTGAGAGAGCTTTAGTGTTTTTCTGTTAATTTTTTACTTTATACTAAAAAACTCACAGAGAATGCATAGTTTAGTAAAAACTAATTTTCTTCTGACAGCCTATCACCTGAAATATCCATTAAGTAGTATATCTGATTCAATAGTACACTGAAAACCCATGTTTCTAATAATGCCCTAAGGCACTATAGTGCCTGGAGTACATCTTTTGAAGAGATAGCTTTTCAGACATAGAAAACCAAACTATAAATGGAAGCATTTGAAGCAGTAAAAAATGTGCTAAATACAAATGTATGTTTTTGAATGAGCTTTGAAAAAATAGCCTGAAGAAAAAAGATAATACCACAAGTAGTAAGCTTTGTTATATACCTTAGAAACACCAAGTGTCCTGTATTCCTGCAATAGTCCTGGCTTTTCTCCTAACTGCCTGATTTTGTGCAAATCTTTTCATTAAAATTTCTAATACTTATTATTTTTCAGGAACCATATATTAAACATATTGCCCAAGATCATACAGCTAAGGAGCAGTAGATTTGAACCCAGGAAGTTTGGTTCTGGAGACCGGGCACTTGTCAACTTTACTACAGCCTCTGTGAGTCTTAACTACTCATCTGTAATATAAAGCTACAGAGCTAAGTTCTTTTCCTCCCTGATTCTATAAATAAAAATAACATAGAAGAAGAAAGAGGTTGATAAGCCCTTCACTTTTTTGTGGTACACTCGCAGAGAAGATGGGTATTCAAGTTACTCCTTTTTAATAATCCACTTACTAAGAGAAACACATTTTTCCCCCCAGGCTCCTCTAGGGTACAATTTATGGCAGCAGTGCAATGTCACACCTGCAAATTGTCATTGCAGCAGGTATACTTTGGTAGTAGACTAGTGGCTAATCTGAATGCAGATCTCTTAGGATTTATCCTGAGTAGGGAATGAGTCACAGTGTAGTAGAATATCAGAGAGGAAGAAAACCCAGGCTGCCTCTATACTAAACGCTTTTACTAACTTGGATTTTGTCAAAGATCCAAAGACAAGCTTCAGAAGATATGAAAACTTTGGCAAGCAAACCGTACCCTTGAGTAACATGCAATAACTATATAGCCTTTTGTCTTTTAAAATTATTTATTTATTTATTTTTGGCTGTGTTGGGTCTTCGTTGCTTGTGCGGGCTTTCTCTAGTTGTGGCAGGTGGGGGCTGCTCTTCGTTGTGGTGTGCAGGCTTCTCATTGCAGTGGCTTCTCTTGCTGAGAAGCACGGGCTTCTAAGCGCACAGGCTCTAGGCACGTGGGCTTCAGTAGCTGTGGCTCGCGGGCTCTAGAGCTCAGGCTTGGTAGTCATGGCACACGGGCTTAGTTGCTCCGTGGCATGTGGGATCTTCCTGGACCAGAGCTCAAACCCGTGTGCCCTGCATTGGCAGGTGGATTCTTAACCACTGCACCACCAGGGAAGCCCTATAATACCCTTTTATCTCCATGTATCAGAAACTGAAGAAATTTAGCAGTAATTTATTCTAAATGATCTTATAGTCTACTTATGCAGAAAACCTAAAAGTTGTGAGTATCTGCTTTCCTGTCCTTAGTATTTTGCTGTTTGTAACAGTGACGATGCATCTGTTTTCCTTTCTGAGAAGGTGATCATCTGTCAAAAATAATGCAGTAAATTAATTTATATCAGTGACTTTTCAAATTGCAGGTTGCAAACCCTTAGAGAGTAGATTATGGAATCTATATAGTGGATTGTAATCCATAAATAATTAAATAGAGTTGAAAATAGAAGAATGAATCATATTTATTAAGTACATATATTGCTTCAAGAGTTTTGTCCTTATTTTGGATCTAGTCACAAAAGTTCAAAATCTATCAATTTAGAGTGTTTACAGAACATAGGCTTTAAACACTCTGGTTGTTCACAATATTTTCCTCTGGGTAACTAGTTAATATCTAAAAGATTCTCAGCGATTAGTGACTGAAGAAGATTTGGAGGGGAATCTCAAACTCAAATGTGTCTCTGATGCAGCTTAAAAACTAAGGAAAGAAGTATGGCCTTCTACTTTTTTCCTCAATTTTATTTATAAGTTTAAAAAGATAGATACATAGATAGGTATATAGAGAGATAGATAGGTAGGACTTACAGAGTTATAGAGCCTCAAATTTTAAATATATTCATTGGAGGTGGTCCGTTTCCACGGTATGTAGCTCTTTTTCTAATCTATAAATTAAGATGCTTTGGGTTGTAAGTACAAGTAAGCTCAACTCAAGCTACCTTAAACAGTAAAAGGATATATGGCATACTTCTGGTAGTTTGATGTAGAGGTTGACAGTCTCACAGTGTCATCGGGTTTCTAGCTCTATTTATATATGGTTTTCTTGCTCTGCCATCTTTTAGGTCATCTTGATTCAAAGACATCTGTCCTTTTTGTATATGAAATGACTGTGGGTATTACAAGTATCACAGTTACAAACCACAAAATCCAACACAAGAGAAAATACTCAATGATTTATGACACTATTCTAGATATTTTCCTCATTTTATGAAAATTACAGAGTTTTTTGCAGTCTGGATTTTGATAATTGTATTCCCATGCTCCCATCTGTCTCCTGTATTGTCTGTGAATTACATCTAGAAGCTTGGTTACATCCAGGTTCAATTATTGGTAAGAATATTTCATAAATGGTATTATAGTATTCTTCTGTCAGGAGAAGCATAATGCCTGCTTGTCTCCATTTCGTGATGTTAGAAGCCATTGATGAACATTGCCGAAATCCATGAGTGATAATCCAGTTTTGCTTTTACTTCCATATTTTATAGCTTTTGAATTATCTCAATTCAGCTATTTGGATACCAAGAAGAACTGTTTTTACAAGATAAATGCTTGATTCTTTTCTTTGATTTAGCTGTTTTCTGAATACTTGGTCCTCTAGCAGTCTCCAAAGATGACCAATGAGATTTTCTAAAGTATCTTTCTGAACTCATGGATTAAAAATACTTTATGTGTATTAATTCACTGCAGTTTCCTCATTGATGTTCGATGTGTTCCACCTTTGGCCAGTGGAGTCTCTTTAAGTTGTTTCCTAAGTCTTTTGACATGACCTTTGTCGTCATTAATAGCTTATTTGCTTTCTGGTATGACAAGATGTTCCAGGTTCATCTTGGGCATTGCTTGCTATAGACATAGAGCTAGCCATTTCTCCAGTAAGTCTTGGTTTCTCTTAGTGGCAAATGTTATTTAGAGACCACTATTTGGACACTAGAAGTGCTCATTGCTAATGGGTTGGGTATATTTTTCTAGTCCTTTTAAAAAATACATCATGGTTTCATATGGATACTTGCTACTTGATCTCATACATTTTATATCTGTTTCCCTTCTAACACAACACAAAGTGGTTTTCAGTGATTTCAACATTCTCATTTGTTTTTTTCCCATAAAATGTACAACAGACTCTGAATAAATTAACAATACAACGACAATATGATTACTAACAAGAGTTTAAAGGGTATTTTTGTTTTTGCTGTTCTTTTTAACCTTAGAGTATATCCCAGCAAGGATATACAGCCAAATTCCCATGTTTAAAGCCACTTTAAAGTGGTTTCTATGTATTATGCCACCAAACTCGATACAATTAGGCTCATTGGTTTCATTCCCCTTTCACTTTGGGGGAATTTTTTTTTTTTTTTAATGCTTCTGAGGTTTCAACTTCAAATCTATGAATCAAGATATACTCAGAGAGGTCTGGCCTCTATTCTGGTTCCCTCTAACCCATCACCTCTCCCCCCTTATAGAATAACCATTAAAAAATTTATAGTTTGTAGTTCACACTTCCATTTTTAATATAAGCAAATATGTATAAATGGTCATATCCTCTCATCTTAGGTATAAATGCTAGCATACTAGAGCTAACAGAAAGGATTCACTGTCACTTATAATTTAAGGGGTCTTACCCAGATTTACTAATAAATAAAGGGTTCTTATTCCAGATTTACTAATGATTTCAAGGATATAAAATCAAAAGGCTCACGCAAATCAAAGAGAAATTTAGTCCATCCTGTGTGGCTATCTTGGTATTTCCTTTCTGCATTGGATACATTCTCTGGCCAGTAATAGATGAGGTCTTTAAATGAGATTTGTGTCTGACCTCACATAGCAAACGAGGGGTTGTTTAAATTATGAAGCATCTCCATTTTGTATTTAGACTGGCAAAGGGCCTATGTGACATTTTCCCCCGAGCCATGCCTTATAAATCCATAGATTCAAGGGATAATCTTGCTAAGAGAATTCCACAGATAAGGGCACTCCTACTAGCAAATTTATTTAGCCTAAATATATTTAGACTATGTTTACAAAAATATTAGACTGCGACACCTGTGGGGTTTTTTTCCCCAGAGAATGTTCCCTTGGTGGTCAGAGAGAAGCAGATCATGGGCCAGCAGCTTAGAAGGTGCA